TGGGTGGCGCCGAGCACGAACGGTGTCAACGCGGCGGTGGCGGAGGTCTGCGACCAGTTCGTGGCATCGTTTGTCGAGGCCGGCGGCGTGGCACTGCTGGTCGATGTGGTGGAGAGAGAGTGCGCGGAGGGCCAGAGGACGACTCGCTGCGACGGGCGGCGGATCGCACTGACGCTGGCCCGGGTGGAGGAGCTCTATGAGGCGCGGTACAGATACCGCGGTAGAGGTGTCGGGCGCAGGTCGGCCCCGAACTGGAGTTGGTACGAGCTGCAGCTCCGGTGGGAGCGCCAGCGCAAGATCGCACTCCTCGCCGCTGCCCTCCTACGCACGCTCGTCGCAGCCAAACGCGATGATGACAACGACATGGAGATCGGACGGCATGTTGATGGGTCGACGATCGCGCAGCTGACCAGCATCGAGCCGGGTCCAGGGATGGACCGCCTGCTGGCCAGCGCGCGCTCGCTCCACGCTTTGGGCCACACTGGCGCCGTCGCTGCAGCGTGGGAGGACGACGTGGGCCTGCGTCCATACCTCGACCTTAGACGCGCCAAGCAAGGTACCCTACCCCTCCCAAGCCTCCGCCGCGGACTGCTGGCGTAAGCTGACGGTGGTGTTCGTTATGCCAACACAACTGGCGTGCGTAGCAAACGAAGCCCACAATCGGCTTCGGCGGCTCAAGAAGAAGCAGGAGCGCAAGCAACGGAATCACCGGCCTGCATAACCGACACCAACCACCTTTCCGTGACACCTACGGCGATAGGGTCCGCGGGAAACATGTTCTCCGTGCAGAGGTGTGGCCGAGGCAGCCCTATTGGCGATACCAAACACCGTTTTATTGGTACCTGAGGGACTCAAAGTCGACCAGCACGCAGCCACGCAAGTGTTGGTGGTCAGCTCATAGGTTCCACATTTTGCCTTACACTTGCTTGCTTGCCGGTGGAGGGTTGTCGCTGATTTCGCCGAAAAATGTGAAGTGTTATGTTGCTTGAGCCACGTGCGCACTTGGGCAACATGTTCTCCAACCACCGATACCTTTATGGCTGCGTTGAGCATAAGGTCCTTTTTGTGTGTTGAGAAAAGCAGTCACTCCAAACATGGCCTCGAGCTTCTTTCCAGACGCCAACTCAACGCCAACCACAGACACGTCAAGTGCCCTTCTTCAGGAGGAAGAGCTGATGGTGCTCGTCAGAGCTGCCTCGAGGGCGCATTCACCCAGAGCCGCCCTCGCCAGCCTCCTACGCACTTTGGACGACGCCCAACACCCCAACAGGCCCGACCCACAACCAGACGCTACGACCACCGTCGACCAAGGGGAAGACGACAGCAGTAGCGGCTTCCACGAGTTCGACCTGAGCTCCCTCCTGCCTTCATCTGCGCCGCCGTCCCCTCCGTCCATCGCCTTCACTTGTGAAGCAGACCTGGCTCTGGCGCCCACGACCAGGTTCAGGCTTTGCGCTCAGGTGCTGCCGCTCGGGGCGTTCTTCGTGTTCGTGGACCCCGGATGCCGGGTCGCTCGGCTGATCGAGCTGGTGGAGAAGCAGGCCGTCGAGCTCTACCGGGTGCACGTGCGAGTGGTGAAGCTGCGCGACCGCTTCGACGTCGATCTGCCGCCTTCGTACACCATCGGCTCCATGCTGCAGCACGACGACACCGTCATCGCCGACCACGAGCTGCCTCCAGACCACCAACCGACACCCTCGTCGTCGTCAACGTCAGAACCGCCATCATCGCCACCAACACCGCCGGCCCAGGCGATACCCAGGGTGACGTGCCTGCGATTCACCGAGCAGCCGCCTGCTCAGGTCTTCCAGAACAGGGAGTTCACTTGCACGGTGGCACATCCGCCAATCGGTCGGGCGATGGTGGAGGGCAAAGACGAGACGACGAAGTGGTGGCCGATCGAGGTGAGAGTGGTGGAACAGGCGAGCGGATCGGCCTTGAGCCGGGCGGACTACGGCGTGCGGTTGGCGGCGCTGGACCACCACGAGGGGGTGGCTGTCCTGTTCATCAAGATCCGCCAGAACTCCTTCTACGGCCGTCGACCCTTCGTCATCAGTGTGGCCCTGCGCGAAGGAGGTGCAGCAGTAACATCCGACGCAATCGTGGTTGTGGCCAAGAAGAAGAACAAGAAGCCAAGTACAAAAAATGTGTGACTGTGCGTCATATTATTTCCTTTTTTAGGTCAGCGTTGCTGATTTGGAGAAAAGAAAAAGAGAAAGTCTGTAATTACAAACAATAGAAATATATTTTGTGTTTGTTCTGTACTGCTTGGCGCTTGGCAGAGGAGGATGGGGAACTTGCAGGTCATCAAACAAAAGGCGACGGCCGAATACGAGAGGGTGCGCCGAGAGACGGGGTGCAGAAACAAGAACCGAGATTACTTGGTGCTGCCCCGCCTCGCATTCACCACGAATCTGTTTCATATTGTTGATGGGTGGAGCACTAATTGGTGGCTCAGACGGTGGATCAGTTAGTGGAGATGCAGACGGACACCATTCTGCGGGAGTATCCCATCGACTTGACGCATCTGGGCATCCTCTTCATGTTGGACCGATCGAGGCGATGCAGGTTCTACCTCGAGGACATCATGCGCTTCATTGACCTTTGCTATGAACGTGAGCAAGGCAACCGGGAGTCGCACGAACTGCAGCAGATGGTACAGCAACTCTCGCGCTTATAGAACATATGTTTTTTTACATTGACATACATCTTCTCGCACACTCGACACT